CAGGAGGCAAGAAACTCTTCAGTTTCACATTTTTCACACCCAGTATTTTCACTTTTTTTTTCCTCCCCTCCTCTTTTCTCCTTTCCTTCCCTTTCATAAACTTACCAAAATCTTATTCTTGCTCTTCTTCTTTGCTTTCCTTGTGCTTCTCCCTCCCATCTCAAAGCACCAAACTGTTCTCACATTCAAATCCCGCTATCTTATGCCTCTTTTCTCTCTCCTTCTGCCCCATCATGATGTTCTCCCTCTCTTTCTGCTCCTCACCATAAGAATTCCATTTTCTGTTGCTGCTTCTTATCCGCACCATGAACCATGATCTCTCTGACATTAACCTCCCCTCCTCTATCCCTCAACATCTTCCCCTTTCAATTCTGTCCTGTTGACCTTCATTTTCACTTTGGTCACCTCAACTCCCCCTTTCACTTCTGCTTTCCCTCCAGAACATTCCCACTTATCTATCAGATCTCCATCCTCTCCCCCAGTCTCTGTTCCAGAGACCCTACTCTAACTTCTATTCCTCCTCATCTCTACTCCAGCCCATTTCCCTTTCTACTTGCCTCTGTTCCCACAGAAACTCCAACTTGACTCTGTCCTGCTAAAAGACTCTTCTAGATGCAAATTTTTTTGGGGGGGGAGGGAGGCAAGAAGCTACTATTCTCCAGGGAGATGACACCAAGTTATCTCTGCCAACCCCAGAGGACTTAAATGGTTCTCACTCTCCGTGTGCCTCTGAATCTGCAGACTTGCCTTTGTCCTGTTGAAACCACCCTCAACTTTCCTAAAGAGCCCTTCAGCTGCCACTGTCACCCAACATCTTCACTTGGCTCTCTTTCCTCCTCTAACTTAACTCTTTCCCTCTCAGAAGCACCCAATTCAACTCTTCCTTCCAAAACTGGTTCTATCCCTTTAGAAGTTCTTAATGTGGTGCCCCCTCCTCTAATGCACTACGCTGACTCCACCCCTTGCCTCCATCTTAGTTCTGTGTACCGAGAACCTCTCAATTTGGTCTCCATCCCCCATAATACACATCATACCACCAGACTTGCCCTTGCCTGTACCTTCCTCTACTCATAGAAATGTATGACTGGAAGGGACCTTGATCGGTCATCTAATCCAGTCCCCTGCACTAAGGCAGAAATAAGTTTTATCTAGACCTTCCCTGACAGGTGTGTGTTTAACCTGTTCTTATAAACCTCCAATGTCAGGGATTCCACAGGTGCTTAGCTACCCTTACGGTTAGGAAATTATTCCTAATGGCCAAAATAAATCTCCCTTGCTACAGTTTAAGCCCATCACTTCTTGTCCTGTCTTCGGGAGCTAAGGAGAACAATGAATCACCCTCCTCTTATAACCCCTTATATGCTTGAAGACTATCATATTCCTCCTCAGTCTTCTTTTCTCCAGCCTAAACAAACCCATGTTTTTTCAATCTTTCCTTGTAGGTCATGTTTTCTAGTCTTTTTAATCATTTTTGTTGCTCTCCTCTGGGGACTTTCTCCAATTTATCCACATCTTTCTTGAAGTGTGGTGCCCAGAACTGGACACAATACTCCAGTTGAGGCCTTAACAGTGGTGAATAGAGAGAGAATTACTTCTCATGTCTTGCTTACAACACTCCAGCTAATACCTCCCAAAATAATGTATTTTTTTTGCAATGCTATTAAATTATGGACTCATATTTAGTTTGTGATCCACTATATCCCCCAGATCCTTTTCTGCAGGACTGCTTCCTAGGCTCATTTCCCATTTTGTATTTGTGCAGTTGATTATTCCTTCCTAAGTATAGTACTTTCCATTTGTCCTTATTGAATTTCAGATAATTTCTTCACTTTAAGATCATTTTGAATTCTAATCCTATCCATCAAAGCACTTGCAAACCCTCCCAGGTTGGTATCATCAGACTTTATAAGTTTACTCTATGCCATTATCAAAATCATTTATGAAGATATTGAATAGAACTGGACCCCACCTGATATGCCCTTCCAGCTTGATTGTGAATCATTGATAACAACTGAATATGGTTTTGCAACCAGTTGTTTACCCACTTTATAGAAGGTTTGTCTAGACTATATTTCTCTAGTTTGTGGATAGGGGAGCTTCTCATAAACAAAGCTTGTTACCCTGTCATAGGTTGATTTGACATGATTTTTTTTCTTGACAAATCCATGCTGTTACTTATCACCTTATTTTCATCTAGGTGCTTACAAATTGTTTATTTGCTCCAATATCCTTCAGTGTACAGAAGTTGAGCTAACTGATCTATTATTCCCTGGGTCGTTCTTATTTCTTTTTTATAGTTGGGTCCTATATTTTTCCTCTGGAATCTCTCCTGTCTTCCACGAGTTCTCAAAGATAATCGCTAATGTCACTGAGATCTCTTCAGCCTTAAGTTTCTAGGATGTATTTCATCAGGCCCTGCTGACTTGAAGACATCTAACTTGTCTAAGTACTTTCTTAACTTGTTCTTTTCCCATTCATGATCTGTTATGGGAGGGAGCTGGTATACGTGGTGGACAATAGGCCTGGCAGCTGGTCTCCTGCTTCACAAGTTGGACTCCTTCTTTGAGACATCTCTGCTCTTCTTCCTCCACAGCAGCAGAGAGCAGACCTCCTCTATCAATTCACTTGTAAGCACTTGCGGAAGGGACTGTCTTATTTTGTGTTTTGCACAGCAAGTGACACCACTGTTGTAGGCATTTAACAAATAAACAACTTTATTTCCTGATCAGCTGCTCATTGGCTGCTTGCTGTGCAGGGGAGAACATCTCAATCAGGACCTTCCTGGAAGGACAAAGTCATTATCATCTCCTTCCCACTGCTGAGAAAGAGAGTCTGTAATTACATACAGGGGTCTCTTCCAGCTCCAATTGCTCTGATTGTCCCAAAGCACACTCCACAAGGGGCAGCATGTCACAAGAAAATCTCTTCACCCTAAAGATGGCTTACTCCTCCTGCTGCTATTACCAATATTTTCTGGTTGAAAATTTTAGCTTAGCAAATTTGGATGCCTAAAATCCAGCTCCCTAAATAAGGAGTGTGATTCCCCTCCAGAGGTGCTGATCATTCCTAGTTTCTAGAGGAGTCAATGGCTGGGTCTACACTACAGTGGGGTTCCGACCTAAGATACGCAACTTCAGCTACGTGAATACCGTAGCTGAAGTTGCGTATTTTAGGTCGGCTTACCTGGCGGTGAGGACGGGGGAAAGTCGACCGCTGCCGCCGACTCCGCTGCCGCCTCTTGCCGAGGTGGATTTCCGGAGTCGACGGCAGAGCGATCAGGGATCGATTTTACCGCGTCCTCACGAGACGCGGTAAGTCGATCCCCGATAGACCGATTGCTACCCGCCGGATCGGCGGGTAGTGAAGACATACCCAATGAGAGCTGCGCAGCTCCACCATTTCTGATAATTAGGCTCTTTCATCATGAAAGTGCCCCTCTATGACCCAAGTTTTAAAACGATGGCCTCACTCCTTAAAAACAGGTAGCTGATCAGTCAGGGCTGTATGGTGGAGGAAGAGAGAGGATGTGACACACTTTCCCCCCCACTGCTGCCCCCTCCCCCGCATCATCCATTCCATTAGCCCATATTCTATTCTTGGCCAGCCCTCCCGCGTTGCCTAATCTCGTTGACAACTTGCTGCCGAACCTGCAGGCAGCTACAGCTCCTTGGCTGCTTCCCGGGGGGGGAGAGAGAGAGCGAGCTGAGAGCAGCAGCAGCAGCAGCCAGAGAGCAGGCGGGTGTGTGAGTCGCCTGGCGCTGCAGCAGCACCTTTGACGTTCCATTGCCTCACGTGACGAGGCAGCTCCGTTCCAGGGAGGGGAGCCGCTGCCGCTTGTGCAAGGCTTGGGGGGGCGGGAGTCGCAGCCTCCGCGGCGGCAGCGGCAGCAGCAGGCGGCAGCAGCCCGGGTGCGCATTGTTTGTGTGATGACCGATCCTCGCATCCCTCCCTCCGCTGCCGGCTGACACGGACCGCGCGGCGCGCGCCCGGAGGAGGCGGAGGAGAGGAGCCGCTGCCGCCGTGCAGCCAGTGACCTTGGCCCGGGGAGGTAAATAGGCAGGGCGGGGAGCGGGGGGAGTTCACCCTCCCCCAGAGCGGCGCGGGTGAGGTGCCGGCAAGCAGGGGGGCTGAGGGCTTCCGGGGCTGCTGTCCGCGGTGCTGAAAGCCCAGGCGCGGCTTCCCGAAGCAGGGCAGAGGCGCCGGCAGCACCAGCCCGAACGTGCCGCGGGGCTGGAGATGCCGGGCCGGGGGGGAACGGAGCTCCCCGGGGCTAGCGGGGGGTCGCGATGAACCCTACTCCTGCCCTCCCGCAGCAGGTTGTCGGGCGGGCTGCTCAGAGCCCGGCTGGGGCTCTGCAGCCGCTGGCGCGCTCTGCCCGTGGAGGGGGGGAGGAGGCGATGGAGCCGGCATCGTGTGGTGCCGGCCCCCCCCAAAAAGAGCTGGCACGGCTCTTTGTGCAGGTGGGTGAGCGCCGCACGGGCCGGGGGAAGCGCTGCAGCGGGAGATACCTCAGGGCGGCTGCTGGGGTGCGGGGCGCGGGACTAACCGCGAGCTGAACAGCTGGGAAGGCAGCCGGCTAATTGGCAGTCCCTGACACGCGGACACAGCCCTTTAAAGGGCGATCAGAAAGATGCGGTGTCCAGTATTCAGTGGGGGCGTGCGTGGGGCATTGTGTAGGGAGATGCCGCTACCCTAGTGTGCTCAGCGGTGTGAAGTGGCAATTCATTAAAGTCGAAACTAGGTTAGTACATTACACTCATTCATTATTTACCTGCACAAGGGGGTAATGGCAGTAAACGGGGAATTAGCTGCTTTGCCCCAGTGTAAATATCGGGCGGAGAAACGGATGATGGTAACGTGTTGGGAGAAAGTCAGCTCTATTAATCACCGTCAGTAGGGGGAAGGAGACCTGCTGCAGCTGTATTTCACTGATCACTCTTACCTTTCACAGTGGCAAATTGCTCAGCGCGACATTTGTCAGCTGATCGTAGCATTGGGACATGGCGCAAGGAAATAATTATGGGCAAAGCAGCAACGGGGTGGCTGATGAATCCCCAAACATGCTGGTATACAGAAAGGTAGGAGGCTTTTTAATTTCTCCGAAACAGTTGGGCAAATGGCATTAGGAAACTTTCGCTCCTGGTTTCTCTCTCCCCCCCCCCAAAAATTTAACTATTTTAACATTTTGCCTCCACTTGTCTTGATACAAACTGCTGCTCTGATGTTCCATTCGTAGGAGTGAAACAACATGATTTCAGAGCATCAGAGATATCCGTGCTTTACTGTTGGAATATTTAGTACATGATGTATACTTTACACTACTTCAATAACAGTATGAGCGTGTGAAATGTTAGCTCGATATCCCAACCCGTTTATCTGTTGTCTTTTATTTTAAGAAATTACCTAATCTCTTGCTCTCAATTTTAAAACACAGATACATATGCTAACTTTGCAAAGTATTCAAGAACGTTTATTCTATAATACATGCTTTAAACATTCATTCGTGTTCGGTTCATTTTATGTGTCAGATGGCAATGTTGCAATATTTAGTTTATTTTACCTGCTATTTCCACGTGCTGGGTACAGCTGATATGTGATGATAAAACATTGTACGATTGAGTTAGAGTATTCACTTTTAAAATGATTTGATTGTAAAATGAGTAAAAATATTACATACTTTAGTTTTCAAATAACAAATGTTTTATGGTTAGTCAATTGTTTACAATGCAATTAAAGTGTTAGTTGCACATGTGGTATGAGGAAAATAATTGTGTAGATTTTTTTTTGTTTTGCAATCAATAGCATTTTTAAAATGTATATTCCAAGGATTCTCTCTGCAAATAGATTTCCCAACATGATAAATGTTTTAACAACAACATCAATAAACAAACTCCCAGACATTGACCTAAATAATGGGATTTATTTGGCTACTGTACTTCAATTAGAATGGTTGCTTGGGGAATTTGAGATTGTTTAAACAAAGGGGATAAAGTTGTCTTTACCTTTGAATTTGACTTCTTTAAATAAATACAACTAAATTAAGAATTTTCTCATTTAATTATAAATTGTGGAGTGGTGAAAGAGAATCTTTCACACAAACTTGGATGCAGAATGTTTTAACTACCTGTTTACTCCCAGAATTTAGGGAGTTGTAATTAGTTTGTGGTTATTTAAAATGGAAAAATCAACTCTTATTTTTGTCTTTTAGGAGTTGACTCTCTCTCTTCCTCCACACTGACTGCAATAAAAAATTCTCAGATTAATGTCAGTGCTTCTTCAATAGTGAGAGTAATTGATGTCATCAGATATTATGATAATAGACTGTTCTTTCCAGAGATTATAAATATTTTGTTAGTCACAAATTGATGTATAGTCCATGCCGCCTTATTTTCAAAGATACTGCTGACTTCAATGGGATTTGGGAATGCCCAGCACCTCTGAAAATCAGGCTACTTTTATTTACGTGACTAAATATAATTTTAGGAATTTTGATGCACAAAAGTTTGGAATACTTTGCACGTGCATAATGTCATTGGACCACCTGTCCATTAACTTTACAATTGTGTACAAAAATTGTATCTATGCGCTTATGTATATTTATATAGTAAACAAACATGTGCAGAATGGTTATCATAATATTATATTTCCTAAAAAATTATTGCACCTAATTGATTTGATTCAGCTCCCTCAAAAACACAGTATTTCATTATATTTTACATATATATACTTAAGAGTAAGTTTCATTGTAATATTTCAGCTTTATAATGGATGGTAGAACTATTGCATAGGAGATATTAAAAGGACTTGGGTGTCAGTTACACTTTTTTTTTTAACCCACTAAACTGATTCTTTTCTTTTCTTTTTTTTTTTAAATGTCTATCTCATTGCTGAAGTGTAACTTCCAGACATATGTAACATGTATAGGAAAGTACAAATACTGTGTTTATTTACCTAGTTTTTCTATGGCATTTTTAAAAACAGAGTTGTATAGTAGGACACTTTTCACATATCTTAATCTTATGCAATATAATCTGTCATGTTATTTCTGTGGTTGGGAAAGCATTTTTCCTGGGTCAGATTGGCAGAGACCCTGGGGGTTTTTCACCTTCCTCTGTAGTGTGGGGTCCAGGTCATTTGAAGGTTTAAGCTACTATAAATGGTGAATTCTCTGTAACTTGAAGTCTTTAAATCATGATTTGATGACTTCAGTAACTCAGTCAAAGGTTATGGGTCTATTACAGGAATGGGTGGGTGAGGTTCTGTGGCCTGCAATGTGGAGGATGTCAGACTGGATGATCATTATGGTCCCTTCTTGCTTTACAGTCTGAGTCTATGCCTGCTTTCTTTGATTCCTTTAACTACTCCTCTTGACCTATCATACTATAGATTGTACTGACAGGTGTCTCAGTCTCGGGTGAAAACTTCCAAGCAATGTTCTAGGAAACAGGAAACAAAATAAGATCTGGTGACATATGTGTTTTAAAAGTACATAGGTGTGTATGACAGGATGCAAATGTGATACTACCATCAACAAATATAGAAGACTTCTGGATTTAGAGTATGATAAGAGGTTGTTAAAGCATAAGTCATTTTACTTCAGATATTACCAGCTGCTCTTGAAGTCTTCAAGTATGATGGTTTAATAGTGGCTGCTACACCACAGGAATTTTGTAATCAATTTCAGAACGTAATGCTCCTCCATTTTCTAAGAAGAGGCTGCAATAACTAGTAAGTTTTGTTGCATTTTGCCATTGTATTACAGATGAATGAACTGTGCTGAGTAACTAGAGTACAGACCTGCCAAATTCATGAAGTACTTTCTAAAAAAAAAAAAAATTAGACAGAAAATGAATTAGAAGTTACTTGAAAAAGTTATGTACTTTTGAGGTGGTTGTCTCATGGATGATTGAATATTTAGAATTCAAAATCTCTTTACATCTTGAATGCCATGGCTTAAATGTGATTGGGTTTAACTGTTTGTCCCAATATGATATTTATGCAGCATGATTGTGTGGGATGGCAATCTGATATTTGTGCCCATGAGAAAAAGAGGAAACATGTAATATCTCTTGTGATAGGTAAGAGACAGGCCTTGACTGTAGTGAATACAAAGCAAATTCTTTATTGAGGATGCTGAGCACAAACATAACCTTGTAGTTCTCACTGTCTCTCTAGCTCCTGTCTTATTAAATACAGTCTGGACCGCCTAGAGTCACAGCCGAGGTCTCCCTAAATCCCAGCCTAGCCAAGTCATGAAAGGACCAGAAAATTTGAAGAATTTGGATGATTTGAGATGGTCCTGAGTCACAATGTTTAGATCAGAGATCTGATCTGAATCTGCATTTTTATGAAGTTCAGGCGTATTTGGATTCAATATTGAAGTTTGGCCTGTCATAGAGAAAGTCTGAATTCTGAGGGCTGGATCTGACCTTTTTCAAAGGTCAGGGGATTTATAGATCCAGTGTTAATTTTCAGAGATGCCAAGCCCTGACAGAACCACAAAGATTACAGTAAACAATCTCATCTCTCACCCATAGTTAGTTTCTGGTTAGTTACCAAGATAAGGAAGTGGAGAAAGCTGATTGGTTTGTCCAGAAAAGGCAGATGAAGAAAACATAATAGTATAAAATGACACAATCTAGATTTCTTCCAGTGTCCCATGTTCATATACACAGAAAGTATACTGCACATTTAGATGGGTTTTTTTTTATAGAAAATCCAGATCAAATATTTGAGTTAAATATTTAGTGCATAAATTACTTGTTTAAATCTGTATTGCAAAAGGCACTAGCATAGATAAATAGTTCCTTATATCGGTATCATTCCACCTCTGAAAGCTCTTGTTCTTTTTTTCTTTTAATAGAATGTCATCTGCATTACTTTTTTTATATGCCTGCCTCATTATAAAATAATGAAATATGACACATAGGTGGTGCCAACATACCTTAGGAAGAGTCCTAAAGTTTCCTGGTATTAGCTTCAGGCAAATATGAACATATTGAAAGTATTACTTTTATTTCCTTTCCTACTGAGTCTATATCCATCAGCAATTAAAAGCTGAATTAGAGGATGTAAGAACACTGGAACCATTAGTGTTTGAACATCATATAGAAATCTTTCATTTCAGCAACACTTTCAATTGTGGCTAGAAGTTGGATTGTAGAGAAAACTACTACTAATGGCTTTTTCTTGTATCTTATGAGTTTAAGTTTTCAGAACTTGAGGTTGTTTTCTTTCTTCAATTTGTGACAAGGAGAGGATAGAATTTATTGTTGGGAAAACTTCTAATTTTAGAACCACTACCCCATGCTGTATTTCCTCGAGTTGAAAAAAGCCATAGGATTCTAATTGATCACTCTCATGTTCTGTTTTAAATTATTCTAAATTGAACAAGTTGAATCCCCCTATGGGGGATTATGAACTCTAATTTACAAGTTTACTTGCTTTTTTTTATCACCTGTTTAAGATATTCCAATCCAGCTTTGGCCTTTTTTGTGATATCAGGACTACCTTCGCTGGAGTAATTAATTATATTCTTGTTGATCGAGACTTTGTCACCACCTCTCTCCCTGCCCTAAATATTAAAATAGTTTTTGATGTAGGTGATCATATTTTCATAGTGTTTGAGGCTACCATGTTCTTGGTTCTATTTCTGTTCCAATAATCAAAGGTCATACTTGCTAGACTTGTATTATAAGTTTATTTGCCAGTCCACTATAATTTGAAATTACTCATAGAAGTGTGATATTTACAGGAATGATGTCTTGCCATTCCTATTATCCTTGTTCCTCTACAATGTTAGCTGTGGAAATGGTGATAACTCACTTTAGTTTCCCCCCTCCCCTCTCAAAGGGCCTCCTCCAAAATAAATTGGCTATTTGAAGTGGCAAATAAAATTGTATTGGTAATGTGTGGATATTCTCAAGTATTCACTTCAGGGAAAAAGTTACCTGGTGGAAGTTAGCCGGACTGCAGTCTTCATATTTGGGAAGGAGACGAAGGATGGAATTTTAAAAATGTTAAGCAATGGCCTATGGAAGACTTACCATTGACTTCAATAGGAAAAGAATTAGTCTGG